CATCGAGATACCTTCTTTTCCTATGAAGATATCTTGTTTCAAAAAATTGTGTCTACAGGCGGGGAGTGCCATTTTGCTTTTGCTTTTCGTTGTGGTTTGGTTGTGTGTTGTTTCGTTAACTTCCAGATTCTGGGATATTAACGCACCAAACACCAGTTCATGGAGTAGTACCCTTTTATTTTGTACCTTACGTGTAGTTGTTTTGGTTTGGGTGCTACTCCGTCCATTTCTTATGGGATTCTAATCTTCAGCGGTAAGTTTTTCTTTTTTCTTATGCCATCGGACCACGTTAGTGCATATCCTTTAGAAGTTTGTTCAATAACTGCTTCCTTTTAATGCGAAGGCATTGCGGAGAACTACCATTCACAATCCACTATGTTTTGTAGCCGCCTTGAAGCTATTTCGCAGCCATCCCTTCTCTTGAAAAAAAAACCCAGTTGTGAACAGGTAAAACAGCATTTTAATTGGGTATTTTATAACTATTAATATATTGATTATTGCTGACTGAAATTCTTAGAGTGTTCTTGATTTTGTTTGGCATTTTTCGTATTCAAATATAGGTCAGTGTCTACATGTCACCTCCTTTACGGCTTACCACATTACATTGATCATGATTTTGATTTTTGAGCTGCCATAATTTTGAAACAAGGGATAAATTTCTGAGGGTATGTCACTTTAGTACATTTTTATCTTTTCTGGCCTTTACTTTTCTTGTAAAATAGAATGTACATGTTTTTTTTCAAATTCGAGTGTTTAAATGAGTAGTTTTGTCTCAGACAGAGAATAGAGAGTAGATGTTTAAGCAGTCCTTCTCTCTCTAGGTTTTTTTATACCTCAATTTTTGGAAAACGGGGTAAGCAGCCCCGACCTTGTGACGTTCCTCACGTCACTGCCCACTGCTGGCAACTGGTTTTTGGCCTGAGCGTTTGTGAGCTGAAGACATCTCAGCTGCGCCTAGCCGTAACTGGAAGAAGACCACTGTCCAGATCTGTTTAAATATTTGTAAAGCCTTCGTACCTATACCCATTTCTCGAATTAGTGGATCGGCGAACGAGGCCCCAACGAGTGGCCGTCGAGATCTCTGGACCTAAGTCCTTCTTTGGGGGCATTTGAAAAATAAAGTTTTTGGTACGAAGCCAGATTCCATTCACGATCTTCGTCAGCGGATTACGACTGAATGCAGACAAATAACTCAAGACATGAGTCTGGAGAATAGATTCGAACAAAATCTTTATTATTGCACGGAGGTAAATGGACACCACTTTCAGCACTTGACACATTGTCCTAACTTTTTATAGCAAATTAATTTTTACGTCAAATTTAACGTGTGTGTAAGTTGTTTGCTTGTTTTTGTGGTACGACCTTTTTGCTGGGCCACCATGTATGTATAGTAAACTTGTATTCTTAATAACTTATTATTGTTGCTTGATAAAGCACAGGCGTGAGAAATACTGAGTCAACCTACTATTTTTTTAACAGTTAATGAACCCGTATTTCTTGATGGAACAAAGGCCGAGATATTATACACAACCTAAATCCCTAGATGTTGTTGCCATGTTGATATTTTGGCGAGTGTTTTTAAAATAAGGGTATTGATTTAGAAACTTCCATGAGAAAGCCGTCATCTGGAGAGACACGGATTTTTTAATTGAAAAAGGAACTGGGGTAAGGGAAGAAGTAATGACTTGACACTTCACAACCCTTTACAAGCAGATCTGTGTAAATTTTTTTGTTTGACAAGGGGGCAGTCACTTCCAGCACTTTTCCGCGTTTCCGCTTTCGAACAAAATTTAATAGCAGCTCATTTCTGCTTGACGTGCCAACAGCGAAACATCTACAACCGAAGTTGATGCTTGAATATCGAATTTTAATTATTATTTATTCAACGTACTGTTATTTATTTCTCAGGAACTTGATAAACCCATTTAAGTACATGTCTAACTGACCGTATCTCCCCTTTGCTGCGTAGATCCCTTATCAGGGATAACACAGACCGAACAATTTTGGGATAAGGCATGTCCAAGGGTTACTGTAGAGGATTAATGGATGCTCTATCATCTGACTATCTGTATTTTTGGAGATCTTGAAGTTGAGTCGAAAAATAAAAGTTAGTAAACATCACCCGGTACGTAGCAGTGTTTACTTGTTTGCAGTCAGTAGGCAGGAGGTCGTTTCAAGTTCTCCTGAAGATGAATGAAATTACCACATACATCTAAAAAATCATGCAATTCAAAAACTCAATCAACCTGCCTTAATAGCTAGATAAAAACTAAAGTGATCGGAATTCCTAAATGTTTATGTTTTGTGCTCAGTATTACCATATAAAATGTAATAGTATAGAAAATGAATATGCAATATGATATGGAATGACAATACCTCACATCTGCTTACGGCTTCCAGGAATCTTACCTGAAACAAAGAAAATATCATTACTGAGATTGAAATACCTACACGTTATTCTAGTTTGGAAAGCTTGTGGAACATATCTTATTCGCCGAAACTCATTTCTCGTTACGTCAGGCCTTTTGTCATGCCTATGCAACTAGCTCACAAGTGTAGCAATAACTCCCGCTTTCGAAAAGCTCCAGACTTATGATTTTTTTGTATATATGTAGTTATTATGGACTAGAACGTGAATATTGACTAATGCTAATAAACAGTAAAGTATACTAAGTGACATATAAAATCCGAACGCCCAGTTTAAATGGTTTTATTTTAATATAAAGTTGGTGGAATGTATTATCTTACTGTAAATAACAAGTGAAAAATTTTCAGCCATATCAGTTGGACATTCCGGTTTATACTGCTTTTTTTTAATTCACTAACGCTCTAAAAATGACTATTTCAGCCGCAGTAAAAATTAACGTTGGCGGATTTTGGTTCTTGACATCCTTTACGATTGGTTACGATGCCTAGAGTACGGAGACCTGTACGATTCGTCAACTTAGTGAGTTTGATAGGGACCGTATAGTGGGACTTCGGGAAGCTGGACCTTTTTTTCGGGCAATTGCAGTTAGAGTGCAAAGAAGTGTAGGCGCTGTGGTTAGGTGTTGTCACTCATGGCTTCGAGAAGGCCGTACGCAAAGAGCAAGGGGCACTGGACGCCGCCGTAGAACAACAGACCGTGAAGATCGCCGCCTAAGATTATTGGCCTAAGGACCGTTTCTCCACTACCAGGTCCATTGCAAATGAATGGTTTGCAGACACGGAAGACCTATTGGCATGCGAAGTGTTTACCGACGAATGAGAAGTTTTGGCTTGTTTCATACCGGCCACACTGGGTCCTCCTTTAACTCGAGAATACCGACGTAATCGCCTTGAGTGGTGCAGACAACGATCACTCTGGGATCAGGAATGGAAAAGTATTATCTTAGTGACGAGTCTCGATTTTGTTTAGGCATGCACGATGGTCGTGCCAGGGTTAGAAGGCGACGTGGTGAAAGGAGGAATCCACAGTTTTTTGTTGAAATACATGTTCATCACACCTGTTGGAGTTATGGTTTGGGTGTCTATAGGCTTATGGTTCCAGGTCACCTTTAATCTTCATCAGAGGGTAACATGAACGCGCAGCGTTATATCCACGAAGTTCTAGAACCCTATCTTCTACCCTATCTTGATACCCTGGCAGATCCAACTTTCCAACAAGATAATGCCCGACCACATGTTGCAAGAGTCACAATAGACTTCTTTCAACATAATGATGTCACATTGTTACCATGGCCACCAAGATCTCCCGACTTATCCCCAATTGAGCACGTGTGGCATATGATAGGTAGGAGATTGCTCAATATGCAACGTCCTCCTCAGACTCTGAAAGCACTTCGAGAGGAGTTGGCGGTTGCCTGGAATGAGATACCACAGGAGGACATTGACAAGCAGTGCAATCATTTTGAAATTTTTATCATTTACTTATTATGCTTCATTAAGTACTTATACAAAATTTTATTAAAATAAAACCATTTAAACTGGGTGTGCGGATTTATATGTCACTTAGTATACATGGTTTGTACAGCGAAATACTGTAACTGTCATAAAATGCTACAGCTATTGAAGTTGTCAAGTTTAGTAGGGAACGCCTTCAGCCAGATTTTTCCATAACTTGATACCCCGTGGATAAAGCAGTGTTTGTACTGACAAAGGGTGATCGCTTATTTGAGCTCCAGATCATTGCATTACCAGTCAATGACAAACTTGTCATTCATCAGGGAGGCAGTCACTTTTTCTTTTCGCGGAGATCAGTCTGGTGCTCTTTATTCCTATATGCAAAGTGCTGTCTTCCAAAAGGTAGCAGATCGTCACTTATATAAAAAATACAAAATAAATGTCAGCGTTTATATGTAGCAGTTATATTATAGCCTTACTCAAATGTCTTCTTTCGTACGTTCTAGAACTCCAAGTTTCATCGATAGCGTACTCATCCTCCACACAAGCTGCACGAAGGCTTCATTTAATTGCCCTTCTCGTGTGCAGTCTCCAGATTTAATTGAAACTGATAATTATCAGTCACCTGCCACGTCAGCCTATCTCCGCCTCCGACCTATAATCCTCAGCAGCCCTCTACTGCTTGGCATCTTCACGCCTTCCGCACGGAATTACGTATCTTAAAAAGCGACATTTTGTCGGACTTTTTTACTTTTTTTTAGGTTTTTTAGATAACACCCCTACTTGTAGTTTAACGGGGCTTATTGTAGCTCTAGACCAGTGGTCGCCAACCTTTTCAACGTGTTGAGCTACTTGATAATTCTGGAATAAACAGAGCTACCTAGTCGTAAGCAATGAAAGTCAACTTAAAAGAAATTATACTCAGTTGTGTGCGACGTAAATAATAATGAACTTAAATAAAATAATTACTAATACATACTACATAACCAAATGCGTGTTCAATGAGAAGCCTGACACTAAGACTCACTGACAATTTTTTTAATGTTTGGAGTATAATTTGATACCGCTATTCGAATACAATTATAAAAATGTTCATCTGTAAGTCGTTTACGGTATTTCTTTTTCCTAAACTTCATCATTGAAAAAGAGGATTCACACAAATCGGTTGAATTAAATAACGCTTTCACTTTCAAAGCAACACGACATAAAACTGAATATTAATCTGTACTTACTGAAGGCCAGATACATTCTGTATTTGAGACTAATGATTTTAGAGCTAAATCATTTTGAAACGGAATCACTTCCGTTTCTGTCGCTGCGATGTCTTCGCTAAAATTCTGCGTAACAGAAGTTGCGAACTGCTGGATATCAATTTCCATGAAAGGTGAAACAACAAATTGCGCCACTATAGGAATTTCGTTGAAATCCTTGAAACGATTTTTGAAGTTATCCTTCAAGTTAGAGACTATTTCTACATGATGCAATGGACTTTGAGGTATCTTTTCTGAAGGAACAGGAAAATGCCTGGTATTGCCATCGATTAAGTTTTGTTTTGTTCTAAAAACTCGAGTTTTTTGATAAGCGCTTTTATATCAGAAATTTCTGCTAGTTATTTGCCTCTCTCCTGAAGCTGCAAATTAAGTTCATTTAATTTTCTGTAATATCCACAAGAAAATCAAACTCTCTGAGCCGGATTGAATTTTCCAGTTCCGGAATCGGTTCATCACTATGGCAGATATCATTAAAATGTTACAGAATTCGTCCCCTACTTAACCATCGGACTTCAGAGTGAAGAAGTAGCATTGACAATCAATTTCATCGGCCACTGAACAATCTTCTTTGTAACGCTTGAGCTCAAATCTTGTTCACAATTTTTACTACCAATTTCAAAACGTTGTTTGCTGATGGATAATGCAGTGGTAACAGAGAAATTGCGGAAAACTTTCCTCTTTACGAGACCCTGTCACGACCCACCATAGCTGGAGCGCCATCGGTTGTCGAGCCTACCATCTTCGATATTGGAATTTTCTCAAAAGTAATAATATGTTTAGAAGAAGAAAACAAGTCGTGGCCAGCAGTCTGTCCTTTTAGTGGAATAAACTTCAGAGGATCTCCTTTAATCGTAAAATCACTAAAAACCATCCTGACGAACACTGTCATCTGAGAGGTGTCAACGACATCGGTGGATTCATGCAGCAGTAGTGAAAAATAAGCACAGTTATCGAAGTCATTTCTTAATTGTAAAACTATTTCATTACTCTTACTCGTCTCATCACTGTATTAGCAGAAAGTTGCATAGATTTTATAACAGGCACTATCTCGTCTTTATTTCTAAAGTTGGCAAATAATGAATCCGCAGCTTCTAAAAACGCCTGTTTTATAATTTCCCCGTCTTCATAAGCTTTCTTCTTTTGTGTAATTATCTGGGACACCTGGGATGATGCTTCTGTTGCAGCCTTACTTTTGTCGATTGTTTTTAAAAACATAGTCGGTTGTCCAATAAACTGATTTTTTTACTGTTTACTACTACTACTCATATTGTTCATCCAAAGTCTGCAGAATGACAAAGTTACCATGCAAAACTGACTCGTTGCCAGAAGGTGAATTTTACAACGCAAAATAAATGTTTTAATGAAAGTTAAATTAACTTAAAATGTTCGTTCAGAAAATAAACTGTCTTTTGTTAATTTGAAAAGCAGTATACAATTTTTGTTTGTCATTTTAAAAAAATAGTTCAGCTTTGCTAAATTGTCGCCTTATTTCTTGGAGTAGCAGTTAAACGGCTAATTTAAATTGTAACTTACGACAGAAAGTTAATGCCTTGAATTAGAAACCGTAATTTTACATATAATAATAATAATAATACTTATTACCCTCATTAAACAGTATATACAAAGTTTACAAACAAAAAAAAGCCTTAAGAGAATAAAGAGCTACATCAGCTTGCCCCTTAAAGAAGCAGCTGCTAGAGCCAAAAAAAAAAGAAATTTAAACAATTCTATAGTAATACAAATGGCTATTAAGACATTGATAATCAATAATGTTTTAATATTAAGAAATATAGCCATTAATAGTAAGTACAGAAATGGAAATTTAGAGTGAGAAGGGAAAGCGAGGGGAAAGAGAAGAAAAGAAAAGGGGGAGCAGGAGATGTGTTTTCTATGATATCTGAGATAGTAAATCACTTTTAAGGTTCCTCTCAAATGTAGCTACCGAGAGAGAAAAATCTTTAATTTTGAATTTATTTACCAAAAAGGCAATTTGATATGAGAATGATTTCTTAAATGATTCTTTATGTGTGATGGTATTGTAATCAAATTCAATCTTCTAATGTTTAGATTATGTATATCAGTCCGGTAACTAATTTTTAAGTGAAGATATGGGAGGCTTTCATATTTTATAATCTTGTAAAGAAGGAAGTAGAGTGCAAGGTACGCCTCTGAGCCATATTCAACCATCCCAGTTCAGGTAGTTTGTGCTATACTCTTTGTCTACCGCTTATGCCAAATATCAGTCTCAGACAAGAATCACACTATCAAGGAATGGGCCATATACCATATCAGAAAAGTTGAAGTGGGACGACACTAAAGCTTCGCAGAGCGTGGCTTTAGTATTTTGTGATAGGTAATGTCTATGGGTGTAAATTACTTTTAGCATTGAATATGCTTTTATTAGACATAGAGTAATGAGCTCTCTAAACTTAAGTTTAGAGTCAACCACTAAGCCCAAATCCTTCACGGAATCCCTAAATGATATATTGTCCCCTAGCTTGAGCTTAATATTGTTTTCTAATACGTTTCTGTAGGAATCACTACAAAACAATATAGCCGTCGATTTACTAGGGTTTATCTTTAACAGGTTTTGAGAAGGCTATTCAAGTCGGTATTCAGTCGGTCCAAAAGAGGCATAAATTTGAGTGTGGTCAGCGTAAAGATGATATTGACAATAACTTAGCGACTTCATGAAATTAAAAGTATATAGGCTATACAATAATGGACCCAAAATACTGCCCTGGGGCACCCCTGATGTAATTGTAACTGTATCCCGTCCAAAGTCACGCGCTGCATCCTTTCAGTTAAAAAAGAATTTATTAATGCATAGGTCGGCTGCTTTAATCCAATATATTTCAGAATAGCCACTAGTATCTCATGATTAATCATGTCAAATGCTTTCGTGTAGTCCAATAACACCAAGACAGTAGCATTTCCCGCATCCTGTTCTCTGATGATATCATCCACAAGATCTGTTAATGCTGTGGAACAACTGTACCCGGTTGTCTCCTGGACGTATGATTATCTTTTGCGCTCGTTATTATATGATTATCTTTCTAGGGTTAAATAAGGGTTGTAGTTTCAACTATTCTTGACGCTTACTTCCTGTTTTCTCTCTACGGCAGTGCTTCGCCACCAGCCCACTCGCGGAGATTGCTCCATAAATAAGAACTGTAATTTCAACCATTTTTTGAGGTTCTAGATGGCTTTAGACGCTTATTTCCTATGTTAAAAGGGGATTTCTCAGTGCCACCGCTGCTGGCTCTACCGCCGGCTTGTCGCCTCCACACCACCGTTCACAGCCAGTTCGCGGAGATTCCTCCATAAATAAGGGCTGTAATTGATCGGCTGCCGGAGGCGATGCGCGCAAGAGAGACGATAACTGAGGTGAAGGAACATTTGATAGTGCCAGCGCGTTCTTGGTAATGTTATGTTTGAGGAACATAGGAAAGCATTTGTTATATACAGTCTCCACTCAAAAAGGATATTGCTTCAGACACAGACCATTTTTAAATCGTGGCCAGCACTTTTTTGCTACCCATTTACATCGGACTATAAAGCCCAAAATTAGGTGTTGAGCTTTTGTGGTTATGTGTCGCAATTAGTTGCTATTGCTGGTTAGACTATGTGTTTCCAAACAGTTGAACATGTTATTCGGTGAACTTTGTGTTTATCTGAAATCTAACAGTAGTTGGAGCTTCATCAGAAACTTTATACACTAATACGCAATACCTGTAGAGTGTGCATATACTCGTATAATAATTGCAAGCGAATTGTTTCATGGTACTTACAGTATAATGTATTTAACAGAAACAATAAGTCATGGTATTATTTTATGTTACCTTTTATCATCAAATTTGTAGAACATCTACACTTGTCAAAAACATACACATTTCCTTATGATCTCCACTCGCTCTGACAAAGCCATAAACTTTGCAATCAGCGATAACCTATTTAGCCTTAGGACTCCACGATCTGGCCGAATCAAACCAGATGTATGCTTCAATGAGTCGTATTCATAAAAGAGAAGCATATCCTCGGCATAAGGTGTTGCTGCCGAGAAAAAGGTAGAAGTATAAGCATACCCTTGTTTTCATATTCATAATGATTACCTTATACTCGCGAGGATATCCTCAAAGACGAAGTAAAACGTTGACCGGTATTTGTATCTTGAGCGACAGGTCCTGACTTGTTCCAGCTTGTAGTTGACGTGGGAGTTCGTTCACTTAGCATCACCGACAGTTGTACTCCAGAGCTTACACTGACCGTTCCGTATTTTTAATTTATGCAGTTTTTTATCAAATTAATAAGCATGTCATCCTCAAGTGATGAGGCAACTATAGAAAATAATGGCAACGACCTGAAGTTCATCGCAGATATATTCTGGAATCATGCACTGATCGAGGCCAACTGACATCAACACTTGTGAACATCTCTCTGGCATCACAAGTGGATTGCACACTTAAAGTAGGTTTCCCTTTTCGGTTGATATACTCATCTCCATGGCGATTCGTTTTCAGGATTCCGATATGTGTACAATCAATTACACCAATTGGATTTCCTTCAAAATTTGCAAGTACAAGGATATCCTTCGTTTTATGAATCCGGCTCATTGTCTCTATATTGTAGAACGTATCGGTCACCATGGTGGCGTTTTTCAAGTACAACGACAATCAATGACGGTATATTTTTGTCTATCTGTATTCCAGGTGATAGTTCATTCATTATGTATTTCCTTCATTCCTACACAGTGTGCTGTGACAATTAGTCTAACCATATTAGACGAAAATACCGCTGGCTTGCGCAATAATTGTCTGGTTTTATTGCTGCAAGTTGTTCAAGAGGACATAGACGCATCAAAAAGGGTACACAAATTTTTACGTGAAAACTTTTTATTTGACAACAAAGAATGAGAAAACGCGTTTTTTGGGATTCAATCGAAAGTGATGGCAAGAACGAAACAACTCTTCATATAATATTTGTAAGTATTTATGAGGCCTACAAAATGAGATTACACATAAAAAGAGGCGACCAATAGCAAGAGAGTTATGGCCGAAAATCGAGGTAAACTGCAGGTTTTCGCACTTGGTAATGAGGTTTTCTTTCTTCATGTTCGTAGAATTCGTACTTCATAATATCCATTGGAGTAGATTGGTCAAGTAGTTTTTGAGAATTTCTAATTGTTTATCCCAAAACACCTGTCTTCCGGCAATCACTACTAGTTTATTGAGCA